AAATCTTACTCTGAAAGAGTCAGTGCCTCACCAGCCATGAACCTCACCGCACGTCACTGCTCAACACCCATATGAAACAGAACTGTAAGCAGATTTTTTTCTTTATGGATATTTTACAAATCACTTCCCTTTTAAACTGTATTCTTAACAACTTTTTTTTAATGTCATATAGTATTGTATACCTGTTTACTTTATTCTCTTATTTTTTTACAACTATAATGATCATATAAAGATGTGCCTTTACCTCACTGGTTGGAGAAAAAGCTTCTTATATTCGTTAGCATAGCTAGCTAACCAGATGCTAATAACAACAAAGTTATTGACTGTATGATCAGTATGACAGATGAACAGATCGTCACTGGGCTCTCAACTAAAGACACAGCCACGCAAAAACTGCGGCATGTGTACAGCTCCTTATGGGTATTGCAATTTGTGAAGTCCCGGCCCGGAGCCTTGTTCTGGTGCTCTCCGTTAGAACTACACCCCTGTCAGACGAGACATATACCACGTGATGACACGTTAGACTCGTGTTGTGTTCAAGGACCCTGACCTTGGCCAGGAAAAACAGGCATGCGCTTGTTTAATTATTTTGCGGTCTAGATTTCTTGAATTGTTTTCTTTTTTGCGTGTGTTTATAAATTACCTCGAGGGCCGTACCAAATGGTCTCGCGGGCCGTATCCGTCCCGGAGGTTCCCCACCCCTGCTGTAGTGTATCCTTTGGAGTGCCTTTCTCTTTAAGCCCTCATGCACACACTGTCTGCCTCCTGTGATTGGTCAGCGTTTCCTCTTCTTCATCACAACCTAACAGAAGTCCTGGCAGCTTGTTTTGAGACACAGTTTCTGAATACAGGCTGTGTTCATCACTCTGTTGGTGGAGCACAGTATTATAGCAACTTGACCTGCTTTATAATTATAAAAAGACTTGGAAATCTCAGTTTACAATATTAGACATTTAAAGGCTAAACTACCTTTGCCTGTTGTGCTGTTAACACTGACTGTCCTTTTCTTTAAACTACAGATTTCTTTGAACATTAGCGTCTCTTTATTTTCCGTGCTCTGCCTGTCAATTACACACCGACACCGACACACCTCTTCGTGAGATCTGGAACATACTGTAGGAGGTTTTCTGATATTTCCTCAGACGTTTCTTCTCCGATTTTATTGATAACATTAAACAAGTATAACTAATATCTTTTTAAACTGCAAGGGAATGTGATTTCCATTGGATCTTCAATAAAGGATTGCCATGAGATTGCTTTATGTTGCAAAAAGAGTCTTCCTTGTTCTATAACAATATGTTTGTCCATATGGTCCGAAATGATTTCACATTGTTCTACTATGTGTCTGAGATTTTAAATCAAGATCCAAACGCAGTTCAATTGTTTAATTGTAATTCGGTGAGCTACTCTGGCATGTGAACAGTTTTTGAAAGATCTATTTTTGGAGTTAGTCACTGTTGATGCTTCACAATGTCAGTCATACTTTTGTACCTTTAGATATCCACTGTGGTTTAAAACATCTGCCGTACATCGCCAATGTAAATGAAGCATCTGTCTTATGTCAAAACAACTTGAGTCCCACAATATGAATGTTTTTTTCTTCTAATTGCTATGGTTTGACTTTCGATGAAGATGTACTTGTCAATTTTATCAAGGTGACCTTAGTGATGTACCAATGTTATGAATACTGCTGTATATTGTAGAGTTGTTACATTACGCTTTGGCTGCTTCAACCAAGCATATGCAATATAAAAATGGATGCTTTAGTATGACATAAAAAGTGTAAGTTGAAAATATTGAGAACACTCATGTGTGTTTAAAAAAGTGAGTATAGTATGATGAAATAGTTGTTAGATGCCATACAGTCTTTGCTTGCTTGTTTGTTCACTTCTTCTGCTCTCGTTTCTCGTTCCCCAGGTCTTCACCAAACTGGCTGATCATCGGTTCATCGGACTCTCAGCTGGCCAATCCGAAGCAGAACCCACAGTAAAGGAGGCGTAACTGGAAGAGCTGTTTCCCTCTTTCTCTCTCACTGTATTTTCGTTTAGCTTTTTTAATAAAATATNAAAATCACAGCCCATTCATTTCGCCTTTCTTTGATTCTATCCATGTGGACATGATTTAAGTGTGGGAGGGGTGGTGTCTAACCTCATCTACAAACCCCCCTAGATGAGGTTAGACACCACCCCTCCCACACTTAAATCATGTCCACATGGATAGAATCAAAGAAAGGCGAAATGAATGGGCTGTGATTTTAGTTTTTTAAGCAAACGTTGAGTTCAATAATTTGTACAGCCCTTGTATGGCCCTTGAGAGGAAAAAGGTTCCCCACCCCTGCAATACAGCGATGCTCAGCCTAACAGTATAACTTTTGAACATTAAAGTATGTAAACATGATCTAGTAGAAAATATAAATACAAGTTTGTGAGTCACCTGACGATGAGCATAATATGTCTCCTGTAGAAATGACCTGATTTACTTGAATTATTACATGTCAAAGTACCTGTAAGTCATTTGAGATAATATGCTTACAATTGAACCAGTAAGCAAATCTGTATTGATTGATTACCAACGAATGTGATAAGGAGTGTGTGGAGGTATTTTAAGTTCTACTCCAGTCCTTACAGTACATGTCAAATGTAACAAATAAAGCTTAGCAAAAAGCGGCTGACATACTCTCCAACCACACCTCTGAAGACTCAGCCAGGTGGAACGAGTGAAGGAACCGGTCTGCTTTTCAAATTCGTCTTCAGGACATGGTGAAAAGGCCAGCACCTGTAAGACAGCCAGATTCAGACGTGATTACAGTATCAGACAGTACTCAAGCACATAGATATATATATAAAATACCCAGACTATACTGAAAGGTGGTGGAAACAGAATTGTGTGAATAATGTTTGTTAGAAGTTACCAGTCTCTATGTCTGCAGACTCTGCAACTATGTCCCCAAAATGGTGACTTCAAATCTTTGTATGGATTCACATGAACAAGTTCTCCATTTACACATTCGTACATAATATAACAATAGCTTGCATCAGGACAAAAACATATTAAATATATATTTGACACATGTCACGATTCTCATGTTATGTCACGTTTATAGTTTTGTAGGTTTGGGTGTTTTTGCTGTTTTCCCTGTCATGTTTTCCTCTGGGTTATTGTCTGGTCCTTTTCCCTGTGTTTTTCCTCTTGTCATTAGTTTCCCTGGTGTGTCTAATTGTCTGATTATGTTCACCTGTGGCCCCTGTGTTTTCTCCTCCCTCCTCACCTGTGTCTTGTTGTGTGATTAGTCTTGTGTGTATTTAAGTTCTGGGTTTTCTGTCTGTCTTTGTCGGTTCATCTTGTGTCATGACTAGTTCTGCGGTGAGTGTTCTGTTTTGTCATTGTTTATAAAAATTGAAATAAAGGAGTTTTTTCAGTTTGTGTCTGCATTTGGGTCCTGCTTCCTTCACAAACCGTGACAACACTGATGGGTGTTGATTAGGACACACAAGACGTGATTACAGAGAGGATTTGCAGGCTATTCAATTTTGATTGGACTTCAACATGAAAAGCAACGGGAACGTACCTGGTTGTTTTTGTTTTGCAGTGAGACACTCTGAAAACCAGACCAGAGGTTGTTATTGCAAACTGGGTAAACTAGATAAAAATGTTCCTGCTAAAATTATGATTTAGAAAAACATCCTCAGCCTGGAAGACATGTTTTTCAATTAGACATGGCAGCAGCACTTCCATTCTTTATGACTTGCTCTGTGGTTTGATAGATGGCTCACAGTTTTTGCATGATCGCAGTAAAAACCTGAGGCGTAAATTACTTTCCATGACAGGCCTGCTCTGTATCTGTTTTAAAAGCTCATACTGAGGTTGGTAGAAGTAATGGTGCCATTAAATAATTCACAAATTATGTGTTGAATTTAAAGTTTACTATGACCAACATCTCCCCGGGATGCCAGTCTTAATTCCAGGTGCCACACAGCAAGAAGAGCCACCAAATCAAAGATGGCCCGAGCAATTTATCACCGGTGTTCACGTCCAATTACCAGAGGTTGTGATGAGAAATATGCTCTAAGGGCAATTAACTTCCTGTCTGTCTTGTCAGCTGACTGAGACGACTTTGTCTTATAGATCCATGTCCTTTCTGCGTCTTTTTTTTCTCCCAAACTATCCATCCATCCCTCCACCCTCCTCCCATTTCTCTCCCTATTTGCTTCATTTATTTTTCTCTCAGAGCAGATGAGATAGCTACTGGGCCTACTTACCGAAGAGAAAGAACAAAGGGAAAAGAGAGCGATAACGGGAGATATGAAAAGTGTCTGTCTGTTGGAGTTGTAAGCTGAGCCTTCTGGTTT